GTTTACATCATGCTTTTAAAGGTGATAATACACTGGTTTCAAGTAGGGGGTGGGAGCTCAGCTTGCATCCTTTGCTAACAAACATAAGCTTTGTCCTGTTAGTGCAAGAAGTGTTTATTATTGCAGATTCCTGACATCAATTTCCCACGCTTAATGCAAATCCATATTAAGCCTCATAAAAAGAGGATTTCAATTACCGATTTTGTCATTGGTAATTACACACTTATTTACAGTTTTTGTGTGTTTCAGCACCCACAACATCCAAGAAAGCATAAATAGTTAAAATGTCACCAAATAAATACTAGATCTGAATGGCAAAATTGAGGCTAAAATAGCAGATCTGAAAGAAAAAGTATATATATATATATAAAACCCCTGGAAACAGGAGCATAATATTTAAAAAACAAACAAACAAAAAAAACACACGTCTTAAAGCCAAGGGTGAGATTCAGTTACCACTTCCACACTGTCTCATTTCAGTGTTTATGAAGTGAAACTGCATTTTTTTTTTCCTGCTCAAGACAACTGTGCCGGATAATTGTCTAGATATGGAGCAGACTGAAAGCAATGACTTAGGGAGAGGAGATAAAGTGAGGGAGGCCTCGAGTCTGCTCCACCCCTGGGTGTGCTCCAAGGAAGTACAGAGAGAAGCATTAGAAAACAAACACAGGAGTGAGAGCAGATGGAGAAAAGCTTCTTTTGCATAGCATGTGCAGCCGTGAGATCAGCCTGCAGGGCAGACACTCATCTTCGAGTTTATTCTATACTCCAGGGCTGGAGGGAGGAGGAGGAGGAAAAAAACTGCATGTCAGGCACACAGACTGAATTAAGAACATGATCCTTACATACACTGTCTGTCATGCACGAGAAGAAAGCTGATGTCAGAAAAAGAGCAAAGAAAGCAAGAAATGAGCGTGTTGGATTGGACCTGAACTGAGCACAATAGTTAAAGAAAATAAGACAGCTATTCCCCATTGACAAATATGAAGAAGCGCCGAGCAAGGAAGCGATGTCTGCTGCTGTTGGTGTATGTGACACTGTTGCTTCTACTCCTATCCATGCTCCTGCAGGATGACTGGTGGACATTGAGTAATAACCATTCTGCAGAAGAGCATAAAGGAAGATTGGAACACTATCCACCTAGGCTCTGTCCCAGTTTCAATGCATCCATGTGGGAGAATGAACAGGACAATGAGGAGGCAGATAGTGATGATGCTGTCTCCCCTCCACCACGCACACATGTGTATTTGCATGCCACATGGCGAAGTGGTTCATCCTTCCTTGGGGAACTCTTCAACCAGCACCCTCAGGTATTTTATCTATACGAACCTGCATGGCACATGTGGCAGTCACTGTATCCCGGAGACGCAGAAAGTCTGCAAGGAGCACTAAGAGATATGCTCAGCTCACTCTTCCGATGTGACTTCTCTGTGCTTCGTCTCTATGGCGGAAACAATCTTACCACTGCTGGGCTGTTTGGTGGACGGAGTAGCAAGTCGATCTGCAGTGTCCCATTCTGTAGTGCCGGAGGTCCAAGGGAAAAGGTGGGCCTCGTGGAGCCAGCGGAGTGTGAGAAAAACTGCCCTGCCCGCACTCTTAAAGATTTGGAGTGGGAGTGCCAACGTCATCCTGTAGTAGTGATCAAGGATGTACGGTTGATGGAATTGTCTGTGCTGCGACCATTACTGAGAGATCCCGGCCTCAATTTGAAGATAGTGCAACTGTTCAGGGATCCACGGGCAGTGCATAACTCGCGGCTCAGATCAAAACGCTCGTTGCTACGGGAAAGCTTACAGGTTTTGCGGAGTCGCTTGCGTATAGTGGACCCAGCAATAAAGGCGCAGCAGCAACTACAGCTGCACCGTGGAGGAGCAGACTACCTGCTAACAGGCGCTCTGGAGGTTATCTGCCAAGCTTGGATAAAGGACCTTTTGCTCCTCCATCGCTCTGGTCCATCTTGGCTCAACAAACGCTACCTAAGACTCCGTTATGAAGACCTAGTGCTGAGGCCCCGTGATGAGTTGGGACGTCTACTTCGATTTATAGGACTGCCATCTATAACAGAGCTGGAGCAGTTTGTGATGAACATGACCAGAGGGCCTAGCTACTCCTCAGACAGACCATTCCTGGTATCAGCTAGGAATGCTCGGGAAGCAGTCAGTGCGTGGAAGGAGAGACTAAACAGAGAACAAGTGCGTAAAGTGGAGGAAGCCTGCGGGGAAGCTATGTCAGCGCTTTCTTACAAGCCACAAGAAGATGAGCAAAGAACTTAAGTTAAAAAAAATTAGATAATATTTCTCAAAACTTGACCCTCATGGATCACCAATAGTCCAGGTTTTAGCAATAATCCCATTGGAACACAACTGTGCAATCCCTAAACTTTGGACATTTGGTGACCCTCAGGGATGGTATGAGAGCAAATGCACTAGAGAAGAAGCCCATCATCCATGCGTAAGATATGGGTGTTCATGATGCACTGAAAGCAGGGGGAGGGAGTCTGGTTTAACATCTTAATAGTAGAATTAAGAAAACTATCTTTGCTGTTCCACCTGATAACAAGTTTTACTGTTGTAGCCAGTTATGGCCAAAAAGAACAGACAGGACTTCAAACGCCTTTTACTTTGAATGTTTATATTATGTACCGTAACATTAAGAAATATAAAAGATGGTCATGCCTTATGTACATTCTGAGTAACATTGGGCACGATTTCCTGGTACAGCATTTAATGGACTTCAGCTCCCATCCTCCTCAGTATGTTTCCGTGGACTGAAGGTGGTGGGAATTGTGGAACATCGACTAGTGTAGCTGCAGTTTAGCAATACTTGCTACAAAGTTTTATTCCAACATGAGTAAGAATCAAAGGTTGTTTTAGTTGTTTTTTCCAAATGTATCTATTTATTGAGATTACCAAATTCAAACACAGATTTTCACTTATTCTAGCACTGCTCCTTCATCTAAAGTCTAGTGTGCTAAAAATGTAAAATTGTGTATTGTTTGTGCAGCAATCTGGCAACCTATTTCGTATATTTTCTATGAATGTAACATGATTGCCCTGAAAAAGAGAACATTTTTTTTACAAGTGTGTTGTCTTCAAGTGACATGTTGCTATTTTAACGTCCGATTTACTTGTAAGTAAAGACGAAAAAACCTTGCAAGTGCTGTGGTTGAGTCTCATTACTAACCACAATAGTCTAACTCAGCAACCTGTTAACTCATTCTTTCCACAAACAACTCGGAATCAGGGTTTACATGGCAATAACACTCTGCAAACTCTTCATATACCACCCCTGCAGCTTTGGATTTTGCTTCTATTTGCTCTAAAGTGCTTCTGATTTACTAGAAAGTGAATTATCAGTGAGCTGGAAAATGTATTGTGAAGTTTGTGCCCAAAAATTCACAATTGTGAAATGGCTGAATTAGAGTTTTTCATGAGCTTTGTATTGTCTTACTTTTACATTTATATTTTCAGTTCAATATAATTCAGAGTTTACTAAATAGACCCCTAAAATACCATTCCCATGGAGTTGTGCAGCTGCATGATGTTTTTTTTCAAGTGGAATGGACAATCATGCCCAGTAAAGATTTACTACAATTTGCATGACTGAAATAAAATATACAATTTAGAAATCATGCATTTATCTGAACTACGATGACGTAATCTGGTTTATTTGTTACATCCTACCATAATTAACCATTTCAAGACTAGGGCTTGGAAAAGCTCTTGTTTCTGTCACTGTATTGACATACCATTGATCCTGAATGGGTTTCAGACAGTCAGCTGTGTTATAACAGTGATTGAAATGTACCTTCAGATAGTGACACTATTAACTATGATGAGCATACTGGCCCTTTAATTAGGACAAATGTACATGCATGTTCCTTAATGCAGAGCTTGACAAATTTGTTTGGAATTTAGGAGCCAGTTTTTTAAAAACTAATAAAGTTTAATTTTCAGCGAGAAAAATGCAATTTTTAAAGGGACACTATAATCACCAGAACCACTATACCTTAATGTAGTTGTTCTGGTGTCTATAGCCTGTCCATGTAGCCTTTTCAATATAAACACTACCTTAATTTTAAGGAAATAGCTAATTGCTCGTGTTCATATAAAATAGCCACATCCTGCCCTTTGATACCAATAATAAGCAGAATATGCAATCTAACACTTACTACTTTGACTTATATAAAGTTAACCGGTAAATGAGAAATCTCAAACATTCTGGTTGGTATATCTCTTCAGGGCTACTTTACACATGCCAGTTACACTGTAAAATAACACTCCAGGGATCATAAACAGTAGTGCCCTTGTGGCCCCCACCCTAAAATATATGGTGTCATGCTGTATTTTAAAGGCTGGACTTTTTACATGGGGTCCTAAGTAGTTGCTTCCATAAGCTGACATCAATGAACTAAGCTCTACTGCAATCGGGTGGGGGGCACTCCTGGCAGCATAACCAGCAAGCTGTAGTTGTTATAGTTTGGAGTATTGCTTTAAAATTGCCACCACCTGCAATCTCCTCCTCTTACCTGCTTTTAGAAGTATCCATATTCAGCTCATTGACGTGGTCTTGGTGCAGTGTTCCACGTCCCTTAACCCTACAGTGGTAATTATTGCAGTTTCTAAAAAAAACTGCAATAATTACCTCTCAGAGTTAACTCCTCAGAGTTAACTTCTGGTCGTCTAAATGACGCTGGACATCCTCATGCTATGAGGACTTCCAGCGTTACATGAATCCCCATAGAAAAGCATTGATTAATGCTTTCCTATGGGGAAACCCTAATGCGAGCACGGCCATTGCCACCCATGCGTATTAGGTCTCCCCCGCCGATGTCAGGTTTTTAACCTTTTCAGTGCCACAGGAGTTGGGGGTGCAAAGGAAGGGAGGGAGGCACCTCCAGTGCCAGGAAAACTGTATTTTTTTTTTCTGCTACTATAGAATCCCTTTAACGACACATGACATGTGTGACATGTCATGATTCCCTTTTATTCCAGAAATACCCTATCGGTACTATTCTGTTTCCAACAAAGTAAACAGCTAAAACACTGCACATCCAGACTCCTGCCACTTTAAACCACTTCAAAAACCAGCAGTGGGCATAGTGGTTGGAGTAACCATTTAATTATTCTCATGAAGGCTATTTGAAGTCAGGTGTATGCTAGCTAAACAGTGAATTGTAAACTGAATTTTACATTTGATCTCCAGGTCAGCTGGTTATTTTGACCTACAATATACATTTTCATTGCCCCACAATTCACTGTTTAGTAAACAAAACCCCGTAGCATACAGCTTTCAAACTCTAGCTCATAACAGAGTTTTAGCATGCGTGGAAGTCAGGCATTATATTATCCAATATGAATAGAAAATCAGAATATATCAACAATCCATTCTTAATCATATCATATAAATACACCAAAATAAATTATAAATACTTATCTAGGCAAATTACAGAGCAAAAAAAAAAAAAAAGAACCCTGTGTTCTTGCTGACTTCTGTTAACTTTCTCAAGGCAAATAAAGAGCAAATACTTGTCCTCATCCCTAAAATGTAAACCTGGCCATGCTCTTGTTGCCATACTATTATTAATGGCTTTAAGATAAACTTTTACTGACCTGGAAAAAATCTAGATGCAAAGTCCACTGGCATATCTTTTATAGTGACCACATTGCCTGTCTATCAAGGTTAAAGATACATACTTAATTTCTACAGTGATAAACTGAAGACTGCAGACTGGTATCTGCATTTCAATATTTACGCCACTTAAATAAGTATTTATAATGTGTTACTGAATCACAAGGCAGTGCTTAAGTAGGTCATCTGTATAGAAGAATAGATTTCAAATGCTGCATACGGAAACCACAGAGAGACTTAAAGGAAATGTGTCAATCACCTGAATTTTTAATATTTTGTTTACTTATCCTTATATTAAATAAATGTGTATTTGTGAGGTGTGAAAAGGTCAAATGTACAAATACACACCTATTTATCCTGCAACTGGAGGCATCCATCATTGCTATGAGGTCTGTCCTTTGCACCTGGCAGTTAGCATAGATAAAACATACAGAGAAGAAGAGAAATTACTAAATGTTTTTTCCCCCCTTCCTTAGCAAAGTTTGACCTTGAATTACCTTGTCTGAATTGGATTATGATGTAATTTGTCAAACCACAAAACACAGCATCTCATGAAAATGTTTTTAAAAGGGACACTATAGTAACCAGAAACATTATAGCGTAATGTAGTGGTTCTGGTCTCTATAACCCTTGCAGGCTAAGCATGGTAAACAATGCCCTTTCAACAAAAAAAAAGGCAGTGTTTACATTGCTGCCTAGTAGCACATCTAGTGGTAGTCACTCATAGGGCAAAGAGAGGTGCTTACTAGTCCAGTAATGCACAGTGCATTACAGGGGCTGGGACCTAAATTGTTGATCAATACAGTGTCCCTTTAACAAAAGTTACAGATAATTTTCAATGGTTTATTCGAGGAGTTACCGGGAAGTGACAGGAATTTCAATCTTTAATCGTTATAAAGTGACAGTTACTCTTTAAAACATACTTACAAACGCCCAAAAAGCATCAATAGAACCGGTTGCTGCCTGAAAAAGTCATCCTGTGAAGTAAAGCTGCCAGGAGCTGAAGAAAAATAGACAGAGGAAAAATGACATTGCTGAGGAGGGAGATGTTTAACCCCTTAAGGACAGATGACATGTGTGACATGTCACAATTCCCTTTTATTCCAGCAGTTTGGTCCTTAAGGGATTAAGTCTTTCCCCGGAGTCACCATTATATAAACAGACATATCACATGGCTGGGGGTGGGGGTCTTTTTGCAAAAATTATTCCACAAGTAATAGTGCTGCTTTAATATATAATGAGCAGGAGAGGGCTGGCAAGGGAAGCAGGGGACAATTGTCCTTTGGGTCACTAGAACAGAGGAATTTGGGCTGCTGCCTTACAGTAACATGTTATGTAACTTTTTTCACAGGTATCACATTTTAGTTTTCACAGTATAAGTATAAAGCATTTAATATTAAATTAAAAAAGGGAGTAGAGTGTGATGGGATATGGTACTTGTTTTATCAAATTGAGCTATTTGTTTTTCGTTGTTTGGGACTCTGGCTCTGTATGGATCTCCCTGTATGTCTCTGCACCGCTAGCGGAACCGCAGGGGCCGGGAGGGAGATCCAGGGCACAGAACGCCCCATATCCCCTTCTTGTGCGGCAGTACTGACCTAATCCTGGCACAAGAAGGAAACCACACAAAGGGAAAACCCCGCACTGCCACAGGCAAGAGCAACTCACTGCTCCACTGAACCATGTGGAAGCCACCCTCTTCCAGCACAAGGGTGCGCAAAGAGGAGGTTTGTTAAAACAGAGCTCAAAGCTGTGTGTGTGCCAGTTCTTACAGGTGTATGACAGTGTGTATGGCAGTACATATCTGTTTGTGTATATGTGTGTGTGTGTGTGTCTGTTTGTATGTCCTGTGTATAGGTGTGTGGCTATGGGAATGGCAGTATGTATCTGTTTGTTTGTGTGGCAGTGTGTAACTGTTTGTGTATATGTGTGTCTGTGTGTAAATGTATGTGCTTTGTATATGTGTGTGGCAGTGTGTATCTGTTTGTCTATATGTGTGT